TCAGGGCTTCGCCCTCATACGAGCAGTTTTGTTTTCTCTGCTAGCTAACTTGTTTTCCATCCGTATGCTTGCAGAAGGTTTTCGAAAAAAAAATCAAACGTTTTTTGTGCAGTTGACAACTGTCATGTAGAGACTGAGATGAATCTAGTGATGGGCGTAAGCAGAGTTTTTTCGCAACTGTTTACGCTCAAAATCTTGTTCAAAATTGATTGAGCGGCAATAAGCTTTTTTTCTAAAAATTGAAGCGGTTTTTGAATTCAGTTCATTAGAACATGCTCAGCAATGACAGTTATCTTTTGGATACTAGAAGAATCAATTGCATTAATGAGCTATATTTTACTTTTTTGGTTATCAATGAAAATCGGATTTAAAGTTGATTATATTTTCCTTTCAAAAATTACCGACTGCAGATTGAGATAAATTCCAACAGACTGGTAAGGATTTGAGCGGTTTGAGCGCTTCTTACTCAAATCTGAGAAGTTTTGAGCTTTTTTTAAACTCAAGTAGTGTTTCACTGTTTTCAGCGTATAAGTGAGTAAACAACCGCTCAAAGCACACAAAAACGTAACCTCTACCTGAGATAATTTAAAAAAACGTTTCAAGTGGTTTAAAAAAACAAGCTCAAGTGATTTTATTCGTTGGATGGATCTCTTTAACTATTCCACCCCCCCCCTGGCATCTAGTAACGAATTGCTACCCCTGTAATGAAATAATTCAACGATTCAGCATGTGCCAATTTTGTACTTAGTAAATAATCTCCTCTCCTTTTTCAAAGGCGGGAATAGTTAAAGAAATCCAATTCGTTTCTGCATTTGACATATTGATCTCATTTTTGACATCTAAGAGTACCTAAAACATGACAAAGATTGGTTGATGAAATATCTAAATAGCTCGTCAGATATTTGATTTTGACACTTCAGCTCGGATCTTTTGGTTCAAAATTCCTTAAAATGTCGGGCTAAAAAACGTCACATGCAATGTTAATGCCAATACAAATTTTGTCAAATTGGAACTAATGCAATTTCTTCCGTTTTTTCAGCATGAAAAACAGTTCAAAAAAGAGTATTCACAACCAGCTAGTAGACAAAAAGCTAATCCATCTTTCTTATTCCTTAAACTGGTTGAAGATCGGCCTTTATTGCTCTTATAAACAGCTTTTTTATGTCTGCTAAATGCTACATAACCCGCTTTGAAAATTAAAAATCGATTTGAAAATGTTCGCGGGTTTAAAAAGACGACAGTCTCATCTCTCTTACCTTCCCTCGTGATGTTAATCTTACGATTAGAAGTGCCTCGTGATCCAGTTGTGATCAAACTGTTCTCTGAAAAATTACACTTGGCACAAATACATGAATATGGTTATTCTTGAATAACTTTTGTGTTTTTGTGTATATTGCAACGAGGCATCCATGTTGGCGACCAAACTATTTTTCCTTTGAACTGAGGCACCCCCAGGGGCGAATTTAGGGTGGGAGGGCGGGGGGGGCGGACGCTTTTCTCTCCCCCTCCCCCTCCCCCTCAGGGATTCGACCCCCTGCCGACCCAAAGGGTCCCCCTTTGGTACTTTTTAAGAAATCCATTTTTGGTCGACCGACCCTAAAATTTTTCTAAAGGCGCCCTAGGCGCCAATATATTAATTTTGAGGGGAGCGCGCGCCGAAAAAACGCGATTTTTTGGTCAAAATTTTCCAAAAAGCGCCTAAAAACGCGTTTTTCGGACTGTTTTTTTTTACTAAACCGTGCTTAGGGAGACTAAACCGTGCTTAGGGAGAGCTCGAAAAATCAATTCGGTCGACCTAAAAAAAAAGGTCGACAAAAATTTCAAAAATTTTTGAAAATCCGCCGACCCCCCCTCGAGAAAATCCTAGATCCGCCCCTGGGCACCCATGCCTGCTTTTTTATAATTATTCAAGGAGTAATACTTAGACTGAGAATTTGTTTATGGTTTTTCTCGTCACTGTGAAGAATTTATGATGGTTTTTCAATTTCGTTTGAATCACGACAGAGAGGGTTTTATCTCCTTCATCAATAATTTTTGTCGTAACTTGTTTTGCGCGAAAAAAAAGAAGAAATAAACATTCCCGAAAAGAAAAAATTCTTCCCATTTTCAATAGTCAGAAAAATAACGTTTTTCTCTTGAATTATCTCCATTATGAGATGTTGCCTGCTGCCACTCCGGTCTACGATCTTTTTTTTTCGCTATGATGGTGTATACTGCTCTTGTTTATTTGCTTATAAAAGTTCAAACTATAACATGTTAGTGTAAAATTAATTTGAAGAGCTCACTTACTAGTTTCAGCTTAATTATGCTTGTGTCAGTCTTTCTATTAAAACCCAGTCCACGTTTTTAATTCACATTTTACGGCGAATTTGCTTATGCTATCTGGAAAGGTTATTTTGTGTACAAAACTAGATAGGAAATTCTTCCGCAATTGTTTTTTTTGTAAATTACGCGGGTGTGAATTTTTTTAAATGCCATTTTGGTCCATTGGGGATAATTAAAGCTGGATTGCTTTTTTAATAAAGCTTAGCATAGCGGGCAAAAAAAATCCATTTTCAATTAGACCAAAGTTTGCATTCGCCTTTCTAATTGCAATAGATATCTTTTTTCAGTTATTGTTGAATGAAAAAATTGGAGAAAAAAGTTTGAAAACAGATGAACAAAAAATCCTTTCAGTATTTTCTTTTCTGGAATTTGCAGAAAAGACCGAATAGCAGAAAAAGCCCACATTTTCTAGAACACCTAAAAGACACGATAGTTTTGAGCTTAATTGTTCATTTGCAAATATTCAGTATAAAAGTAGGAAATTGAACCTGCTAATTTGAAATATTTCACGCTATGTGTTTTTTTTTAGAGAAATTATAGTTCCCTTATTAGGGAAATTAGTTCGTCTTATAAATTATTTTAGAACAATCATAGGCGCACTGCTTGGTTCAATATATATATAAAACAAGATACCAATTCATCACTTTGTTCATTAGAAATTAGTAAATTTCTTTATTTAAGTCTGAACAAAATCATTTTTTTTCTATAACAAATCGAAATTTATAAATCATAAATTGTTTTATAGACGTGATAGAGCAGTTGGAGCATTAGAGGCTTGGCTTTGATAATTTTATCCATGTTTTGTTTTGAAAAACTTTGTGAGACAAAAATAACTTCACTGCTGCTATGCTGTGAAGGATTATGTCTCAAATGGCATAAAATTCATGAAACATGCAACAGTTGCATTTAAAAAGCCGAGAAAAACTCTGTCGGAACAATGTGAGAAAATTCGTCAAGCTGTCAATTCAAATGTTTATTGACATTTTATCTTAGAAAGTTTGCAGAATTTTTTATCAAAAGCAAAAAAGCGTAAGCTTGTGGATATTGATAAGCTTCTTGTGGTCAGTTTTTACTAAAAAATTGTCGCTTCACTTTTGTTCGCAAGCAATTAGTTACGAATCTTTTTCACATGTTTTTGTTTTTGAGTTGGAAATTATTTAGAAATCGTTTGAATTACAATGAAAATTTGAAACTGATGCCATTTGGGAAAAGCTTCACTTATATGCCACTTGGGAATTAGGCCATTTGGATACTTGGATTTGAACTTTTGTATTTAGTGCGAAACCAGTTTCTGCTCTTTTTAAATGAACAATTTTGATGCAGAGAAAGTTTGATCTAGTTAAACAGTTAAAGCAAATTAAATATTTTTGCTCCAATTAACAATCAGAGTTATTCTGATCGTGTGATTTTTTTTTATGAAGACAACGAGTTTTTTTTTTACTTTTTCCGTCCAAACCTTATATGTTTTTGACTTTTATGGTTTAATTTTTCGGATCGATATTGAAACATATATTCAAACCGATTTTTCTCGACACTAGAAAAAATGTTGGGAATTTATTTAAAGTGGTTCGAATCACGACTGAAAGGGATTTAATATGATAAATCACTCAACCCAGTCCGATGGTTATTTGTGGTACCTGATTTTGCATGGAAAAGAAAAAAAAAAAACTAAAACACCCGAATACAAATTTCCACCCCATTTTTAAATGGTCGGAACAGAAATTGTAGTTGCGCTGCAGCATAGTTGACTTGTTTTTGCTTCTGCATAATAAAACTTGAATGAGGAAACTGTATTCAATGGCAATGACACAATCAAAATTCATCTAAAAACTAAATCATTTTCAGTCATGATTTCATTCTATACATTCTATATATTTTTGCTGCGCAGTTAGGTATGAATCGAAATTATTTTTGAACATTTCAACTGAATAAATTTCAATTTGCCAAGTGGATCAAGTTATCATCCTCCCCCAAAACTGACCAAGTTAAAATTCCCCATCCTAGCGTTGATTTAGAGTTGAATTAAATTTGCTAAGCGCTGCATGAAAAATGCTCGATTCTGATGATTAGCCGAAAATTCTCAACTTAGAGCCAGTAACAATGGGGGTGGGGGAGGGTGGTAACTTGGTCTTGTCAAGTAACAAAATATGGTGAAAGATCAACGTGCTGAAATATCGGGTTGCCGTAAATGTGGGATTTTAGTAATTTTTTCTACAATATCAGTGTTAATGATTTTCTGGTTATGCCGCAAAAATCTGCATATTTTTTGGTTGGTTATTGGTAGTTTTGTATCGTAGCCTGGGACGATTAGTCTAGTTAATTAGATAATGGTCAAATCATCAGAAAAAATACAATTTTTCTGCCGCTGATCTTAAATTGTACTTTTTTCATTAATCGTGTTATAATTCTAGTCACAAATAGGCTACATTCGAGTCTCTCCGAAACAATTGAATTTCCCAAGCCCTCTAGTAAAAAGTAACCCTTTAAATTGACTTTCTCGGAAATATAAATTTGATTTGACCGTTATTTTCTGGCATTTTCTGTTTTTCAAGAAGCTTTTATAAAATCATTAGTTTTAATTCTACTCCACTGCTGGGAAGGGGTCAAAATATATACTCAAGAAAAATTTAAAATGATTTTTTTGTTGAGTGAACAAGTCGCGATAGACCAGTCATTCAACGCTCGATTATTTAGACAAAACTTCGATGCGCAACCTTAGCGAGTGAAAGTCTTAAAGTGAAATTCTTAACGAGCGGCAATGCCTCAACACCTGAAACTATATAGCTAATCAACCAAAAGAATTCTTTACTTTTTGGCAACTTGAAGCACTTGGCAACTTGACCTGACCTTTCTGCACGTTGGCAAGTCACATAAAAAAGATTCTACCAAATTAATTTTGTTGCAAATTTCTAGGTTTTTTTCAATCACCACCACGGAATACACAGACAAATGGGAACAAATTTGAGGTAATCAGCATTTAGCGTCCAATTCGATAGAGATAGTCCGGTTGTTCGCATTCTTGCTTTCAATCCGAAGCACACGCTGGAAGGCCGTCCTAAAATTTGAAAATAATATACGAATAAAATATCGATGTGGAAAAAAAAACGCAGCGGAATGAGTCGTCCAGCGGAATTAGTTTTAGTCGCTCTCAAATTTTTTAAAGAATCAGTTATTCAAACATGAAATACCTAAAACCACAATAACGCTTTTTAAATAGCGCCCCAAAAACTGCAATATTTTAAGAAAAAGCGAGTCAAAATAGAGATTTGATAGTGCTATCGGAGAGCTGGATAAAAATTATGACAGCTTAAATGAACCTATAAACCGAAAAAATAAACCAAATAAATTTAAAAAATCTCAGATGCGCCCTTGTTCATTTTATTGGGAACAGAAACACAAAAAAAAAATTTCAATTAACCAGAAAAACTGTTTGCCACGAGCAATCAAAGCGCAAAATTTAAGTTAAATTTCATCTGTGACTTTCAAATATTTATAGAAACGTGTTCAAACACAAATTGTCATCAATCAAAGATCAATATTTGGATTCAGGTTTAAACAGCGGCGGATCCCTGCTGTGATAATGCTTTGAAAATAAGTCATCCAGCGCCGTAAATTTCAAGAAATATGAATTTGAAACTAGTATCAAACAAAAAACTAAAAAAAACAGTTTCTCGTATCCATTTTTGGTAGACTGACTCTGAAAATTATTTTGAAACGTTTTCGGTGCCATAATATTTTAATTTTGAGCGGGATCTCGACCTTTATTTAATCAGAGCTTAAAATGCTTCTTTTTGTTGTTTTTTTTCCAAAATTCGACTGCGGCGCAGAAAATTCGTCCAAAACAAGGTCTTTATAGTGATTTGCAAGAACTCAGAAATTCAATTTGGTCGACCTAAAAAGTGTTCACAAAATTTTTGAAAATTATTTGAAAGTCGTAAGATTGATGAAGAAGATGATTCCTCGAAGGTTGATAAAAATCATTTTTTCTCAAACTTTGAAGTAGTTTTTTCACATATAAACTGAAGTTGCAAAGCCCTTGAAAAGAAGTGTGTTTTAAAAAACAGTAGTTTTTGCTGATTTTTTCCATAACTGTACTTATCAGAAGGTAAAACGGAGAATAGGCCTGGAATCTGCTGGTTTTGTATACGAAAACGTCCGTTCTGAAGTCTATAGCAAGAAATATCTTTAATAACGTCAGTTCTTTTTCACCTGTACTCCCTGTTGAAGCAGTACAGGATAACAGGGTTGAAACAGCTGTTGATGTACCCTATCCACGTGACCACCGTGAACAGAGTGAAGTTTTCACAGCAGAATTGGAACAGCACATTGCAGAAAAAGAAGGGCGTCCAACACACCAGAAAAGTACTGATGGACAAATCAAATATGATTCAATTACACAATAATCTCGACTTCATTAATTGTGTTTTTTTTGCATAAAAAAAGGACAAGTAAGGCTCAAGAAATAAAAATGTTCAACGATACGTCAAAAACAAGGACTTGGTGAAGAATATTTCAAAAAATAATAAGCTTATCTCAGGTTAGGTGCTGGTTGTTTCTTAGAATTTACTTGAAACTGTTGTATGAGCCGATTTAAATTGTCAAAAATTGCCTTTATAGAATCAAAAATGATCTAGTTTGCTTTGATTTATTTTTTAAACATGTGTCATATCTTATCTCACCTGATGATAATTCCGATTGTGATAGTCGCCTTCTGATTTTTCTTCAAATGGGGCTTTGGAACTCCAATTTTGGACAAAATCTGACGCCCTCTAAAGGACCTTTTATTGGGGTCCCTTTTATCCTCGCCCGGGTCCGATTTAATTTTGCGCAGTGACTTTTTGCTGTCGGAACAGGTTTCACTTGTTTTTACCGACACCGACATCTGGAGGTTAGTTTTTCGGATTTGCTTCTGCTGTAGTCTCGCTATTAGGAACACTCGGCAATTTGTTCCGAGTATTATCATGGCTGGTATGTAGAATGAAATTGCACTGGATATCAATGCGTATGGTGTGTTTAGGGTAAGTTCACAGTCTACGGGAAGCACCGAAGGATCCTTGTGGCAGGCAGGTTCTGACATTGCAAGTTTTAAATACATTAGTAAAGGTTATGAGGTAATTCATCCAAACTGATTAAATTATTTTATCTATTTTAGTTGATTGATCACGCAAACTATAGGTTGCTTAGCATACTATCTTAAAATTCACGAAGGGAATAATCGAACAAAGAAACAGCGGGACAGTTACTTTTGATAGTTGACAATCAGTTACTATGTTAGAGTCTTGATAATTAAGGTACCTTCGCTATTTTTTTTGCTAATTTTTGTTCAGCTCAATTTTTTAAGCCACTTTGAAACTTGAATGGATTTTCGTTTTATATTCAACTTCAACGCCAAAAACCAAAAAATGATAGTGTTGGTGACTTATTTGGCCAATAAACCGTTTTTCTAGGTTAGTTAGATTTTTTGACAAGTTTTCATGTTGAAATTAGTAAAAAAAAAAACTGATTTACCACGTCATAATGAGCAGTTTTAAGCTAACTAACTTCGTTCAGGTTTGTTTACCGAACAAATTCCGACACTTTGACAGAAGCTATTTTTAAGATTTTAAAGTCTACTTTAAATATTTTCAAACTTTTTATTTATTAAATAACTAAATTATTTTTCAGTTTATTCGAAAAATTTTTTAAGATTATTTTTAAAATTAAATTATTATTTCTTAAAGTTTTATTTCTTGAATAATATTTTAATAAATTAAATAAGTTTTTTATTTCAAGCCTGTGTGTTATTATTTTTAAAAATCTGAAGTTGAATGGTGTCAGAAGCCTGCCTTCAAGTGCCATTTGAGCAGGACCGGAACTATAGATATCATGAGAGCACTGAGCCAGGCCATCGAAATCAGGAGAGCCACCACTTTGGTGGTCATGATCTGGGAATACTTGAAAGGAGCCGATATCGCCAAAAACCTGAAAAAAAATTTGATTTATTTTGCCACAAATCTCAGTTGCTAAACAGTTTCTCGAACAAAGAGACAATTTGTCTGATTAACTGATTTCAAAAGCTACCAAAACGACTCAAAATAAGAAAGAAACCATATTTTTCTTCTCCGCCTATTACTGACTGAGACTATTAAGACTAATCTGCCTGTATGAGGGCAACACCCTGATTGTTCCGACTTCCTTTTTATCTGGTCTAATTATTTTTTTTCGTCATTTTAAAGCATAAAGAAACATTTTGCGTTTTTTTGTTGAAAGTTTTTGTCAAGATTATGTGAAAGCTTTTGAATCACAATACATGGCAATCAAATCATTTTGGGCTCCATTAAAAATCTAGAAAAAAATGTGTTTTTTTTTTCTATTATCGAACACAGATGTTCTCGCACTGCTCTAAAATATTGTTCTCAGGCATAGAAAAACAAAACAAATAAAAGCAAAGCCTTTTTTTACTACGACAGATTGTCAAAGCTCCTCCCCGCCATGTTCTGCTTTGTCTGATACTGAATGAGACTATTACGAAATACTGCAACAGATTGTGAACTACGACCAACAGTGTGGTCCAGATAATAAAAAAATATTCGTAACCCCAAAAGCTTCTTCTGCCTTTAATGACATTACTAGCAACCCTCGGACGATTTTAAGATAGGTGGAATCCCTCATAGGCGGAGGACCAAATGGGCGAAAAAAAAATCAACCAATCAGATTTCAGTAGTCCAAAATTTGGAAAGAAAGAGTGAAACTCTCAAAGAAAGTAAATATTTTCAGCGATTTAATATAAATAATAGCCGAATATAAAAACGGCAGAAATATGCAAAGTTTTCAAATCGTCACTGACCGCCGGCGAATTAGAACAAAATTTATATTTCATTTAGTTCTTAATCATTTAAACGGTAATTGATTCATTTCAATAATTGACTCTCAGCTTTTTGTTTTCGATCCTTCGCCCATCAGTCTTTCGCCCATTCGGTCCTTCGCCCATGAGAATAGCCCCTTGGTAGGTATAACACAGGGGCAGTTGTTGATAGAAGTTCATTTTATGATTCAGTAAGTGCGGAAAATTTGACTACTTTGGTTTTGTGATACAGCTCTTTCTACCCATTTGAATAACAAATTAGGCGTAGAATAACAAATAAAGACTAATAAAATAATCGTGAACTTTTAAGATTGTTCGTTCAACTGTGAAGGAATTTTTCAGAGATCAGTTGCTATATTTTATACCAGGTTATACGTTTTCAAATCAATTTAGTTAAAAAGTTAGAGTCTTTTTGCTTATTCCGCTCAAGTTTCTTAAATTTGTGAATTTGCAATATTCAATGTATGAATGCTGAGAACAACATGGTAATAACATTGGTTAATTTGGTTAACACGAATGCAATCTCTTTATTCTTAAGCGGACTTCTAACAAGGGCAAACTTTGAGCAGTTTTTTTGACATTTTTTTCTAGAAGCATTTTTATTTTGGTTAAAACTCTGCAGGTTATTTTATCAAACTGGCTAATTCGGCTAATTTATAAATCGACTTGAAAGTATGAACAAAAAAATTTGAAATGGCGCTGAAATTTGATTGGCTATTTCTAGCCAATCAGATTGAAGCAAAAGATATTCAGTTCAAGATGTAAAACTATTGATTTTTGAGAGGAATAAGCAAAAATACCCAAAAGTTACTCTTTAAAAAAAACAGAAGTTAAATGTTGTAGCGAACATTCAGCGTGCTCTTCTACGTGATGTTACGTTTTTTATGTTTGCTAGTTTGTAGATATTGTAAATGTGAGGGTAAGGCAACATGAACCAGTCCAAAAAAATAACAAAAAATGCATATAATGTTCAACCATGAAATTTGAATTCTCCCTAAAGAGTTTTTCAGCTGTTTTGCTGGTTTTTTCACTCATGATGAAATTTCCTAACCTATTTTTAAGTGATACAATAACAGTTGCAGTAAGTTTCAAAAGGCAAAAAATGAATTCGTTTATTCATCAGACTATGTTTTAACTAGTATGTTCCTGGTAAGGAATGCTTAATTGCTTCCAAAACTTTTGCTTAACGTTGTACCCGACTTTGTGCGTAAAATTGATTTAAATTATTGAGATAAAAAGCCAAAGAACACTGAATCTTCTTCAAAGTCACACTTATCTGCTTGCATCACGGCAAAATTTTATAAGTTTACCAACTAGATCTCAAAAACAAAGGAAAAAAGTGTGTCAAAAATGCTAATTTTGATCAATTAGCATGCTGCAATTGAATAATGAAAAATTCTGAACATGTTTATTTTATTGAATAATGAAAAATTCTGAACATGTTTATTTTATTGGTAGGCAAGCTTTATTGCCAGAGTTTCAATCAAGAAAATAGCCGATTTTTGAGCAAAATGGTGTTTTTAATTTATTGTTCCAACTTTCGATACGAAAGTAACGGAATATTTGTGCTCGCGGTGGGTTTTTTTTCTTCAGACAAATTTCGACTTTTTAACTAGCCATTTTTGACGGAATTTTTTTCATATCATTCGAAAGCCATTGTTGTCCTGAACTTAAATTTGAACCTGTGATTTCGTAAAGTTATGAGGGTTTAAAGATTGCCATTTTGACCAATTTGGGACAATTAATGCGCGATATAATTCGCGCTATTAACGCGTAAGCGGAGATTTAATCCGTCTTAGAAATCGTTCCAAATTGGTTGAAAGAAGCTTATTTGCCATAATTGATTTGTTACAAAAAACGAAATCTCTCTTTTTGTACTTTGTATGGCGTGTGGGGGGATGATTTTCATAAAAAATTTCAAACTTTGGAAAAAAAATTTCATTTTATTTTATTTCATTTAATTTTTATGTTATTACTGCTGCTCCATAAACCTTAAAAGGCAGTCGGAACACTCAGGGCTTCGCCCTGATACGAGCAGTCTTGTTAGTTTTTATTACACCCTTTCTATTTTGTCTGTTGTTTGCTTTTAGTCCAACAGCTAGACATATCTCAAATGCGCCTTTATCAAGTATGTTATTTTTTTTAATCTGGTGATTTTTATAGAACTATAGCTTAATTGACCTTACCGAGAAAACGAAAGGATAAACCATACTCAGCCAACAAAAAATTGTCTGATGTTCTTTTTCATTTAACCAAAATGCGAGCAGAAGAAAATGAAAAAAAAAAATTATATTTCACGCTTTGTTGCCTCGCTCATTTCATCAAACTATTTCGATAAAGCGATGAAGAAGTGGTTTTCTTCTCAGCTTCTCAATTGAAAGTCGGATGCGCAGGCCCCAAGTCCAGAAAAAATGCAAATAATTCAAACAAAGGCACAGCAGGGTTTCTCCTTAAAGGGCTGAGCAGCTCGTATGTTCGTCCTCTTACGTCGTGCATAAATTGCCGTAACTAACTGTTGTCAGCTGACTGACATCTAACTGGGAAGTTGAAGACTTTATCTTCGGATACAATTTTTTTTTTAGTTAGCTGCCGACTCTTGTGAACACACAGAGACCATACTGTGTGAATCTACTTGGTTCCGATGTATAGAGGCATTCGCCAAATTTCAAACTTTCAAATTCAGTCACCCGGCACTCCGGACCAAACCTGGACTATTGGACCTGATTTTTCCCTAGCCAGGCCTCGTTACTGTGATGGCTCCCAGGGACAAATATAGCGAGCAAGTTGCCTAATTTTGTTTCGTCGCACGTAAAGAACATGCGTGCCATGCGTGTTCAAAAAATGAGGGGAATTATTATAAAGTGTGTCTTAAATGGTCGGTTACTGTTTGAATACCTGTCATATGAGACGACACACAGATTGAGGATGGAAGCAGTGCACCCGAGGATGTCGAAGGAGGTGAAGAGAGAGCAGCCGACGTGTCCGAAGAACCACTGCTGTCCTATGTCCCGGGAAGCAGCTGCTGGCATAAGCAGACAGCCCACAAGCAGGTCAGCGAACGCCAACGAAGCTGAAATAACAGCTGACTCAATGCGGAATTTTTCAAAAACGCGAAAAACATGTTTCATAACTTTTCATAAGGTGTTTCATAATGCAACAATCTTTTGATGCATGAAGAAACCTTGTTTTTGTGGTTTCTGAGCATTTGGAATTCTATGTGGTTTCTGTGAAAAGGTTACAGCAGACTTTCAGGGCTCTCGTGGGGGATTTTTTTTATCGAATTATCTTTTTTATTTTGTTTCACTTACGCTCTTGGGAAAACCTTGCCTTTTTAAAATTCAACTTTGTTCATTTTGAACAATAAGCAATCAACAACACTTTTTAATTTTAAAGTGAAAAAAGTACTCTTGCCTAATTGCTCAATGTTTTTTTCTCCCTTATTCACAGGTAAACTCAAAAATAATTGGGAAGCAAGTGAAAATAAATTGCTGAAACGCAATCATCTTCGCTTGAAGTTTTTTTACAGACAAAGTGTCACTTTTTTGGAAATAATTTTTGTTAAAAAAATTGTCGCAGTGTAGAAAAACATCGAAGAGAAGCAGTGTCGCATGGAAGAGAATGAGAATCGATCTCACAATCTGATTTGATCACATTATTTGCTAACAACGCAGTGCTGGTTTAATTTATCTGTACAAACTATCAAAATTTGAAGATTCAAACGCGTTTTCCTCAAAATGGGTTAAGAATAGACAAAAAATGAAGACAGAAAAATGCTTAAAATTTCACCAAAACTATAATATAGAGCAATTTCTTCGATATTCTTAACCAAAAATTTGCGCCAACAATGAGTCAATTTGGTTTGTTATAATTAATAAAGAATAATTCGGACAGTTACCACTTTAATTGATAAGAAAATTATATCAAAAGAAGCCTCTTACAAAGCCCAACAAACTTCCAAAAATTTGTTGGAGAAGTATATTTTTGGTTGATAGCCGAAATAGGTCAAATTTTCCATGAAAAAAAAATCTAATTCTCCGGCTAAAAACAAATTTCAAACGTTTAACGCAAATTTTTGGAAATTTAATTTCTAAAACTTTGTTCGACCGTGTAAGAGGTTTCTTTTGATAAACTTTTGCATCAATTAACGTGGTAGTTTCAGCGTAATTCTTGATTACTTAAAAAAGTTAAAATGTCCAATTTTGGGGGTTAAGTTTGACTTAAGTATTTTGGGGGAAAATTGGGTCATATAAACTCTGGTGAATTTCTTAGCAACTTATAATCTCTTTACTTTTGTCTAATCTTAACCCAATTTGAGAAAAAGGAGTTTGAAATTTCAATTTTTGATAGTTTTGTCCGGATAATTTAAATCAATACTGTTGCTGCCTGATACTAAGTCACCCTTTCTCCATTTGGTAAAATGATAGAAAATTAGTATAATTTCCAAATAATTTCAAATTATTTCGAAAAATAGTTTGAAAATGAATTGTATTTGCAATATTATCATATTTGAGCAAAAAGTAGCAGGCTTGGAAAATTGTTTACTAATTGCGCAGCAACGCGAAACATTTGCTTATATAGCCATTAGTTAAGCATCAAACTTTTTTTTATTAAATAAAAAATGTTCCAAAAACAGGAAACATCATTATCTGGTGAAAATTGTCCGTCATCTTTCCACCGCGTTTGGAAAATTTGCTCGTTTTGCACCATTGAAAATTTTCAACTTTAACTGATGCAAATATCAACTTGATTCACGTTTTCTACCTTTTGTTCAAAACTGCAGCAAGGATAAACCTATAAAAATGTAATTAAATTGAAGTGTCCTTGGATTTTGTACCATGTCATGCTTTGGACTGGAGCTTGAATTATTTTGAACCAAATTAGTCGCAACTGAAAAGTCAGCTGAATCCATATATGAAATTGTATGAAAGGCATTTTTCTTGTATGGACCTCAACTTGTGTATAGTTTTTCCTCTTTCTAAACTTGACAGAATAAGTTATAGTTTCCTTTCAGATCAACCGGAAATACGAACTCGAAGTCCGGATAGATTTGAATAATATACATTTTTTTCTAAATTACTTTAGCCATAAGCAGCACAACCAGTTTTGGAATTCAGCTACGGGGGTTCTGCGCGATGCCTGATTTGTGAATAAATCACACATTTCATGCAGCTATCAATTTTGTCTGAAAAGGACAATTTGTCTGTTTAGACAGGAAATAGCTGCCCGCATTGCGGATTTCCACAAGCGCCATCTCGGCGTGTAATTAATTAACTCTAGTTAGTCAATTGTCTCACCCAAATAAACAATTAGATTGGTTTTAGGATGTAAAATTACTAAAATTGACTGTTACCATTGGAGGAAATTTTCATTCTAATCAACTTTGTTTTCCAATTGGGAATTGGGAGGCAAAAGGCTAACCAGGCTTAACTAATAACCCGCCGAAACGCGCAACATGGGTGAGTTATTTCCTGCCATTTCAAAAAATTCATTTAGGTTGCTGTAGTCATAGTGATTATTTAAGGTAGATTAGGGCGTGAACATAGTTTACAATAGTTCAGGCGTCACGTGAACAACCCACCCCTCCACAGCTGAACCGCACCCCCTCCCCGTTCAGGTCGGGTGAGTGATAGGGGGTTTGGTTCAGTTGGAATAGTTAGATTAGTACAACTATAATTTCATGAGTCTAAGGCGATGGATTTAAGTGACAATGTGATGCTTATTGTCCCGTCTGACATCAAATTGGAATGGTCAGGAGTGATCTAAAGAGGATTGTGTTGGTTGTCACTTCCGATTAGTTATTACTCGATAGGTTTATGAGCGACATAAATTTTATCAAAGAGATGACATTAGACACAATGGATGGACAGAGCTTGGAATCCATTAATGCATGCTGTGATGGTGGCGGAAAGATTGAACTTTTATAATTGACTGGCCGGATTGGTGAACTGAATATTGCATATGACGATTGTACAAAAAACTACGAATGCCGCAAAAAAATTATTTATGTGATGATGTCATCACTTGAAATTGTTTCAACTCGAGGTAGCAGAGTTTTGCAGCGCTCGCTTAATGACATCAAAATTTATATCGACAGTTATTTATGAAGAAATAGCCAAAGAATTTGATGCAGATGAAAAAGTGACCGCGATAAAAAAATTTCAACAATACAAATAAACAGTTACTAATTGTACAATTTGTCAAATGAAACACTGCACAACTTCATTTTTTGAAAACGTAAAGTTTTTTGCACTGATCCTCCCAAACTAGAAATTTTTGAAAAAGAGAAAACTGACAGTGTTTCAGACAGTGTTTCAGCTTCAGTAGGTCAAAAGATAGCAAGATGCACTTTCAACTACACGGGTTGAGTTCCCAGTAATAGTCATCGATGAAAAAAACTCAAACCCAGTTTTAACAATGATTTCATTGATGATGACGTGTAATCACAAAAATTTTCGTCGTCTAAAATATGACAATATAATCAATTCCCATGTTACGCTCAGACAACAAAATTGGACTAAAAAATTAAAAATGAAAATAATGCATTATAATTCATTTGAAATCCATTATAATTGATTATATAATAAGTAGAAAATCAGGTTAAAATTAATTTTTTCCACTTTATTTTTTTTTCGCGTCGAGCAAAGTTTTGCAAGATTTTCTGCATTTATCAAATGAGTAAGGCGGAAAATCTGCAAAACGAGTGTACGGCTTAATCTATTTCTAAACCTAAACTCAAATTGCTATAAGATTCCATTAACCTCCTCCCTGTAACGTTTGCCCCTTTGCTCCCTTACAACCCCCATCCCAACGTTTGCCCCCTTACAACCCCCATCCCAACGTTTGCCCTACTTGCCCCCCAGACGTGAACAACCCAACCCCTCCACACCTGAACCAGAACCCTCCCCGTTCAGGTCGGGTTGGTGATAGGGGGGGGGGGGGGTTGGTTCAGCTGGGACACCGGGGATTGGTTGATTATATCCAAGTTACAGTTACAAAAAGTAAGAGTTACAAAAATCAAAGTTGCGCAGAAAAAAGTTGTAACTGATAACAAGTAACCAGCTTTTGTTTTAAACGTAAAAAAAAATTAATGTGCGTTGAAAATCGCATCTCAAAAATTTAAAAAAAATCAATTTTAATTGAGTTTCATGGTCAGTGTTCACAAAAGTGAAAAAAAAAAACTCGTTTATATTGGATTAAATATGGATTTTATTGACTCAAAAAGTAGTAATATTATAATGCATTTTTAATTGATTATTGTCGATTTTTTTCACCTTTGTAGAAACTGACAAAAAAACTCCATTAGAAGCAATTTTTTTCATAGAACTCGAAATTCAAACTCCTTCGGCAAACTATCGGGGAAGTTTTGATGCCTTTTTTCCAAAAAAAATCAATTTTTTTTTCAATTCAAAGTTAATGGTAAAAATTTTTAAGTTTAGACATCCATATAAAATGAGCTATTTAGCTAAATGACAATTTTTTTTGTAAAAAAATTTGTTTTTTTTTTGTAGATTTTTTTTAAATTTAGTGTTCTTTAGTGTTCTTTTGACTAATTTAGTGTTCTTTTGACATTGAAACGTGCTATCAGGATTAAAAAAGTAATTTTTTGGCTATTTCATCTATAAAACTGCATGGCTAGTTCTTGGCCAATTAATTGTTCCGAATTTCATAACGAAAGTAACGGAATATTTGTGCTCGGTGTTGTTTTTTTTTTCTTCAGACAAATTTCGACTTTTTAGCTAAGAAATGTAGCAGGCGAAACGTATTATTGGCATGAAATCAGTTTTGAAAAAATATTTTACCTGTGATCATTTTTCATAAAATTATGAGGGTTTAAGTATTGGCAATATGGCCAATTTGGGACAATTTACGCGCGATATACTTCGCGCAATTAACGCGTAATCATATATTTAATCCCGCGTAGAAATTGTTCCAATTTGGTTTAAACCAGCTATTTGTCAAAATTTCTACGTTGATAGGAGCAAAAACTATCATTTTGATTTTATGGCGTGTGGAGGATGATTTAGAAAAAATTAAAAGTTTTTTTTGAAAAATTAATCATTTTTTTAAGCG